ACAGCAGCAGACAGCTGGGCTGTGACTGCTGCCTGAGCAAACCCCAGGGGCCGAGCCTGGTCCCCGGGGGGCCTGCAGTGGAGGGCGAGGGAGGTTCAGGCGCTAGTCTGGCGCGGAGGGGTGCGCCCTAGCGGGGGAGCCGAGGCCAGAGCAGCAGATGTGCGGGGTGACGGCCACACTCCCTGACACCCACTTTGGCACATCTTAGCATCCCTGGCAAGTGAAGCGGAACCTCCCTCCTCCTCGAAGTCTCTGAAGACAAGGCACCATTTGACCACAACCGAAAACGCTCTGCAGGGAACAGCCCTTCCCGCCTTTCCCCATCAGATGCCGACTGAGCCCCGACGGCACGTCAGACGCGTGTCAGGTGCCCGGAGGTGTTCACAGCCTGGCAGAAGCAGCAGCCACACTGCTGGACGGCAGCTGCAGATGATACAGAACAGCAGAGGGGCTAGAGGCAGGGGGTTACAGACACGGAGGTCTGAACGTGTGAGAGTCAGTCAAGTTGAAGTCCTGCTTCTGACTTTCAGGATGTCCTTGGGGAAGTCCCTGCACCTCTGGCCTCCGAAGAGGGACGGAAAAGAATACACTCTCCTTCCTCTGACAAGGCAGGGGATGAGGTGATGGGACCCCAGGAGGGTGATGGGTGTGAAAGTGCTTTGTAAACCCCTGATTCTCAACCAGGGCGACCTTGCCCTGCTGGGGACAGTGGGCAGTGTCTGGAGACATTTCTGGTTGTCGTCTGGGGGGTTCCTACTGGCTTCTTAGTGGGCAGAGGCCGAGGATGTTGCTGAGTATCCTACAATGCACAAGGCAGGCCCTAACTATCAATGGGGTGACCTGAGAAATCCTAGGGTCAGCTGCAAAGGGTTGTGGGCATGTTAGTGATGGCGACTCAGTGCCCCGAACCCTTAGGAGGAGCTCCCAGTGGACGGGCTTTTACTATTTAGAAGGGAGAGAGGCATCCTTTCCTGCAGGAGACTCGGGGAGGCAGGCCACACCTTTACCTGTGGGGCTGGCACTGACATCTGGGCTGGTTCTGTGCAACCCTGGCCCAGGGAGCTGTACCCGGAATGCCAGGCCTCCCTCTGCCCATGGCCAAGGGAATCACATAGCCCGCCGGGCAAGCAGATGCGCGGAGCTTGGCTGGGAGGTGCGCACCTGTGGAGAGTCAGATCCAGCTGAGCCACGTGACGCCTCCCCCGGCTGCACCCAACGGCTGTCCCAGCCACAGCTCCTCGGGCCAGCAGGACCTGCCTGTGAGCCAGGCTGGGCCGCCCTCACTCTCCTAGGCTCTTGCAGGGGCCCTGGTCGGAGAACAGGCAGGTGGCAGCCTAAAATCCCCCCTTGCGTGTCCCGTGTAACATCCCAGGACTCGGACAGAACAGTCTGCAGTAAAGAGGGTTTGGGAGCAGTAGCCTGAAGGCCTGTAAACAGGGACGTGACTCCCATCTCACCGGCAGCAGCCCTCAGCTTCCAGCAGCCACCACGCCATTGCCTTTGCCGCGCCTGGCGCTGTGCTGAGGTGCTGCCTGCGTGGCCTCTCTCTTGCCTCACAACCCCACAAGAGTGAGTGCCGTTTTGCGGATGAGGAACCTGAGGCTCAGAGAGGTGCAGTAAGCTGTCCAAGGTCACTCAGCTGGTCGATGGCAGAACCAGGATGGAACTGCGCGCTACCTGCGGTCCCAGAGACCCGGTTTGAGCCGCTCTGCTGGACTGACTTTGAGGGCAGCACAGGCTCCCTGCCCTGGCCTGCAGGTCTCTGCGAGGACCCCGGCTCAGCACACCACTGCTTTCCTCCAGTAAATTCCCAACAGTGAGGCCTCAGCGCGTCTCTCTGACTCTTCCCACGACTTCCACGTGGGGCTGAGGGCTCTGCTGAGGACTGCAGCCCAGAGGGTGGAAGAGACCCCTCCAAGACCCCCAATATGCGGGGTGGAGCTGGGACTGGAACCCCAGTCTCCCAACTCCCAGCACCGCCCTGCTGCGTGGGGGGAACATGCAGAGACATTTCTGAGCCCAAGTTCGTGGCAGAGTCCAAGCCATCCACCGATGGACTGTTTTTAAAAATATATATTTTTTATTGATTTTTTTACAGCGAGGAAGGGAGAGGGATAGAGAGCTAGAAACATCGATGAGAGAGAAACACCTATTGGGGATGTGCCTGCAACCAAAGTACATGCCCTGGACCGGAATCGAACCTGGGACCTTTCAGTCCGCAGGCCGGCACTCTATCCACTGAACCAAACTGGCTAGGGCTGATGGGCTGTTTTCATCTTTCCACCCATCCCTCCCTTGGCGGTGGGAGCTGCCACAAGCTGTCAGCTCACGCCGGGTGCCAGACACAAGTCTAATCAACAGCTTCCAGCTTCTCCGGGCTTGCCCAGGCCGCGGGCTGTGGAGCCTCCCGTTCCAGGCTGCCTCCTGCCCAGCAGCTGCATGCAGCGGGACACCTGGCTTCCCTGCCAGGCCTCCGGAGACAACACACAGCACCGGCTCCTGCACCGGCTGGCCGGCCAGCGGCCCCGGGACTCACGCCCAACGCCAGGTACCAGGAGGGGCGTGGACAGCCAGGCCCTGCCCCTCTGAGAGCCACTCGAAGGACAGTGCCAGCCACCATGCCTGCCTGCCCGGAGCTTTTCCTTCTAGAAGCAGCTTTTGTATCAGCCCCTTCAGCTGCTGACCAGCTAGGTGACTTTGGGCAATTACCTCCGGGATCCCCGATTTTCTCATCTGTGAAACGGGATTCAGAGGTTTCAGGGTTGAGAGAGTACAGGGGGCGCTATTACAATTACGATTCTTGTTGTCACGACTCCAGGCCCATTGCCCCACTTTGTGACGGCTCTGGCTCACGCTTGACCCTTTCCTCTGCCAGCAACAGCTGTACCTGCCCCGCCCACTCAAGATGAAGCCTGTATCTTGTCTTTTTCCCTAGACCCCAAGCTCCTAGAAGTCCGGCGATGGAGGCTGATACCTTCAAGGCAGAGGACCCCGTCTCTCCTCTCTCACAGCCTCTCTGGTTGGTTTGGGGCCTGGGGAGCCCCCGCTCCTTCTGCCTTGGGCTGAGCAGAGACCCTTGGCTTGAGGCCCAGCACCCAGGGTGGCGCAGGCGTGAGCGGGGTCATCCAGAGACCGCTCCGTGGCAACCCGAACCATCACCGTGCAGAGAACAGGTTTGCCAACCTAGCTTCTCCCTCTAGGCCGCCCTCCCCACCCCACCCCCCAGCACCAGCACTGAGCTGTTGGAATTCCCCACAGTCTGCGTGACCCAAAGCTGGGGCCGGGATTCGGGGCTTCGATGCCCAGGTGTGACCCCACCTGGGACACCCTGGTTGGACCCTGGAATGGCTTCAGCGAAGGGGGAATGTCACTGCCTGGGAGCCAAAGCACCTGGGTTCAGCTCCTAGCTCCTGGGGCCTCAGTTTTCTCATCTGTAAACTGAGCCCAAACACTAGATGCTCTTCAAGGACTTTCCTCGGTGGAAGTTATTCTCCCCCCCCCCCCCCCCCAAGGCCTGGGTCAGACCCTGGAATCAGCACTTCTCTCTCTGTCCTTTCGTGACTGTGCTGGGCGGTCAGACCCCGTCCTCACTGTGGAGACCCAGCTCTGAACCAACGCTTCCAAGAGTCAGCTCCAGGGGACCCCAGGCTCCCCCAAGTCCAAGCCAGATCCCGCCTCGGCTCTGTGACTCATACCCACGCAAGGGGCTGGTCTGCAGGGGGCAGTGGGAGGACGCGCGGATGCCCTGGTTTCCGTACGCTGTGCCACTGCCCCTGAAGTGTTAATCAAATTAAAGCTCCAAGAAAAACAAAAGCTCCGCAGCCACTTCAGGCGGCCTCGGCGGCGTCCTCGCTCCCAACAGCTGGGAGAATTCCACATCACCTCCGTCCCCCAGGCCCCGGGGGGCTCGGACCCCAGCGAACACTCTCTTCCCGCCCGCAGGGCCCGGGCTGGACGCAGTGACCTCATAGCAACAGCCACTGCACACGGGGGGCAATTTCACGGGAGATATTTGTTCTTTGGTCTTGATGCAGAGAGGATTTTTTTCCTCTCCCGCGGTCTCCATGGAAACCCCAGCGACACTGTTGGCCAACCCCCTTCCCACCTCATGCTTTTCAGATCAATATTGGAGGCCGGCTCCCCACTGGCTGCCCACAGCAGATGCGGGCAGCGCTCGGGGCGGGTCCGGCGAAGCCAGGAGCTGGGGAGTAGTCGCTGAGGGGGATGGAGGAGTCGGGGTCCTCTTGCTTCCCTGGGGACTCTCACTGGGCCAGGCTCATCCCTTTAGACACCCCGCACCTCCCAGTCCACCTCTGTGCCTTCACAGGGAGTCCCCGGGTCAGGCCTCCGAAAGAGAGCCAGAGAACCAGCAGTCACCAGCCCTCCCTCCCAGGAGAGACACGGAGAAGGGGGAGGGGGGGCTGTGGTCGTTCCCAAGAGCTCCCCGTTGTTTCTTGCTGCCCCAGGGAGAGCCCAGGCCTGAGGCCCCGGGTCCCGGTCCCTCTCCCGGCTCCCGCCCCCCAGCAAACAGGTCTCTGCACGCCTCCCGCCAGCCCGCAGCGCGGCGCGGAGCTCTATCCTGGACGGGCGTCTCGGGATTAACCTGCTGCCGGGACCGGGTCCCTCCCGGCGGTGGGCTTCCCCGGGACCTGTCAGCGCGGCCCGGGCTGCACCCCGCGCCCCAGAATGCCACCCCGGGGTCCGCCCCGCGCCCGCACCCCTCGCGCTCCCCGGCGCCCCACGCGCCCATGGGTGCGGACGCCACTGCCGTGGCCACCCCTGCCGCCTGTGGGCTGGGAGCTGAGCGGGCAGCAGGGGTGCCCGGAGGGGTGCCCAGAGGGGTGCCCGAGGGCGGCCGGGACCGACCGGGGAGAGCGCGAGCGAGCCCTGCGCCCCGCGGCCGAGACACCTGCCGGCGCCCCCGCGCCGCCGCCCGCCCCGCCCCGCCCCGCGGCCCCCGCGGCCCCCGCCGCCCGCCGCCCGGTCCCGGCCGGACTCACAGCCAGTTGCTCGCGGCGGCCGAGAAGACGGCGAAGACGAGGAGGCGCAGCGAGCGCAGGCAGGAGCGCGGACTCATGGTGCCGCCGCGGGCGCCCGGCCCCGGGCAGCGGCTGCGGCCGCGGGGGCCTCCCGTCGGGGCGGCAGGTGGGCAGCCACGGGGGCCGGGGTGCGGCGCCGGGCGCGGCCGGGGCGCGGCGGGGCTCTGCTCCGTGCTGCCCGCAGCCCTGCCCGCTGCTCGCCCGCCGCCCGGCGCGGACCAGACTGTCAGCGCCGCCCCGGAGCCGGGATGCGGCGGCGGCGGCGGCGGAGGCGGGCGGGCGGCCGGGGGGGCGGGCCGGGGGCGGGCCGAGGATGGGGTTACCTGGGCGGGCCCAGCGGCCCGGGACACCCCCCGGGGGCGGGCCGCAGCGGCGGCAGCAGCGGCCGCCCTGGCCCGCGGGACCGGGCTTCTCCGGAGTCCTCCCCGGGAGAACGGGGGTCCGAGCCCGCTCCGGGCACCCTGGCCGCGCGCCGCCTCGCCCGCCCGGTTAGAGGCGCGGCGACCCGGCGGCCGTCCCCGCCCGGGCCTCGGGGACAGCGGGCACAGCTCCCCCAGCCCGCCGCGGCGGGCACTGCAGGCCGCCCTCGCCGCCCCGCCGAGGCCCCCCCAGCCCGCTCCCCTCCCCGGTGGCGCCTCGGAGCCCGACCCCGGCCCGGCCGGAGCGGACGGAGCGGAGCGCTGCTGCCATTCGCACGCACCCAGCTGCGTGCGCTCCGGCCGCACCCCCCGAGGTCCGGGTGCCCGGCCCCCGCCCGCCAGGCCCTCCTGCCTCCGGCCAGCGCGTCCTCTGGCCCGGCCCCGCCCCGCCCCGCCGCTCGCTCACCTCCCTCAGCCTTCCCGGACTGGCCGGGCCTCCCCGGCTCCGGGCAGCAGCTCGGGACAGGGGCCCGGGACCGCGGGAACCTGAGACCTGGACTCGGGCTTAGCCTGAGATCAGGGCGCTCCCGGAGCCACGGGGTCTGGAGCAGGTCGCTTCGCTCCCTGGGCCTCGGTTTTCTCATCCGAGAGCTAAACACAAGCCCCAGGGGTGGTGAGGGTGGAAGGAGCAGAAGGAAGGTCTTGTTAAAGTTTATTATTATGACTTTTAGCACTCATCAAGTCGTGCTTTGCCTTTTTTTTTTTTTTTCCTTTAGGCACGCTTGTTGTATTTACCCTTCCTAGTCTCACAGATTCTGCAGGCGCTCAGCGCCTGGCACACAGTAGGTGGCCGCAGTGTCTGTGGAATGAATGGTTGAGATGGAATGGGCTGCAGCGTGTGCCTTGATAGTGTGGAGTGATCAAGTCCACACCATAATAATCGGTGAGTGTTATTTGCCCATCCTCAGGTGACCAGTGGCCAGGTCCCTGATCTGATTTTGGATGCTCCTCACCTTGTCTCTGACTGAATCCTACAGCTGCTCGGACCGGGAGGGACCTCTTGTCCAGATGGAGAAACTGAGGCCCAGAGAGGGGCATGGAGGTGCCCCACTTCCCTAGGGCTTGGGGACAGAGCGTTAAGCCGGGCCTGCGCCCTCCCCCCTCGCCAGGCTCCTCACTGCTTTAGGAGCAGCGGGTTGATCCCACGTGGACGGTTATGTTGGGTGCTGGGAAGGTGCTCTCCCCTCCGGCAGTCCCTGGGCTCAGCACAGAGGAAGGGCTCCGTAAACACTGGTGTCGAGAGTGGGCAGAAGGTGGCAGGGATTTGTGGGGCCGAGCAAGAGTACAGATGGAGGCTCACATACCATATGTCTAAATATTTGCAAGTTATAAATCAAGCTAACAAAATGTGAAATAAAATATGTTCTCTTCTCCTCCCTTGACAAGCACACTTTCATAACAACCTGGAAGACCAGCTCTGAGTGTGGCGTTCCCAGACTCCTCGGACCCTGCACTGGAGTGGGGAGAAGAACCGCCCCCACTCCCAGCCCGCCTTCGGCCTGCTCTGCAGGGGCCTGTGCATGCACAAGTGGACAACTCAGCCTGCACACGCCAGCTCTGTCTACGCCGCACCTGCCCCCGAGAGCTGCCGGGGCTGAGCGTCCTGGGGGTGCAGTCTGCCCTCCAGGTCTCTGTGGAAAAGACCCATCCAGGTCCTGGCCATCTGGGCAGCCAATCCCAGGGCCCTGGGTACCCAGAGTGTGGTCTGCAGGAGGGGGCATAGGCTTCAGGTGGGCACGTCCCTTCGGCCCCATGGGCTTTTCCTGTGATGAGAGCTTAGCTGGGGCGGGGGTGGGGGTGGGGAGCAGAGTGTGGGGTCCCAGGGCAGGGCCCACTCTCACGTAAGGGTGGTACTAAATTACTGAACTGTTTTTGAGCCAATGAATTTGCTTCCTGGCACCTCTCTGTGGTCTGGTGGATAATAATAATAATAATAATAATAATTATACTGATAATAACTTAAATGGCACAGGCAGCTATTTTAGGGTGGCCATGTAATTTTCTCCCAAACAGGACATTTCTAAGCGCGATGGGGACTCTACCGGGAGATGTGCTGGGCTGCCAGGCACGAGGGGGGACTGTGCCTGGCAAACGGGGACGCCAGGCGGTGTTCTAAGAGCTTTTCGTGCTGCTGCTCACCCTGGAAGCGGGTACGGCCATTCCCCCCATGGACGGACGAGACCGACTTGTCCAGGGAAAGCGGTGGACCCCAGACCCAGAGCCATGGCTGCCCTGTGCCTGGGGCTCAGTTGTTTGGGCTCTCGCCTCTCTCCCACAGCGTGTGCCCCCTGACCATTGGGGAGCTGCCGGACATCCGGTGTCTGTATCCATCCGCTGAGGACGACGTTACCTGCCTCACCTTCTGCAGGGGCGGCTGGGAGACACACATGACGCCGTGGGTGGGAGCCCTGGGAGCTGGAGTGAGCGGAGCCAGCGAGGGAGGGCGGGAACGGGGCGCAGGGCCAGCGAGGCCCACCCTGCTGGCGATAAGGAGGGGGAGGAGCCCTGCGGTCTGAGTCAGTGGAAAGTCTTAATGGGAAAGTCTCTATGAGGAAATGTCCTCCTAGCTTTCCGGGACAGTTTAATTGTGAAGATTCAAATGCCAATTCATTAAAAAGTTCAATTGTCAACAACTCCTTCCTGTGTCATCGCGTGGCGTAATGACAAACGACATGTGCTGCCCCGTGCCAGCCACGGCGCCGGGTGCTCTGCTTCTATGAACTCACTCAATCCTGGCCACAGCCCTGGGAGGTAGATTCTGCCGACATTTAAGGGTGCTGAAGCCCAGGCTGCCCTAAAGTGCTTGAAGACCTATCAACAACCCTACACACAGCACAGGCACTGCTATCAGAGTCTCCATTTTCCTTGCGGAGAGACTGAGGCACAGGGAGGTATAACGGATTGCCCACAGTCACACAGCTCGTCAGCGGCACAGCCAGGGCTGGGAGGGGGAGGTCTGGGTGGTGATGCATCCCCCAGGCTACTGCTCAGTGGACAAGATATCTGGGTCCAAAGGGGAAGGTTCTGGGGTGTCTCTAGGCTCCCCCCAGAAGTGACTGGAAATCCCCGAGGCCTGAGGTGGGCACTGTCTTCTCTGTACCCCTCTCTGTCGCCGGAGCGCTGAGTGCCCATCTGAACACATCCTGCTCATTCCTCGTCCTTGGCTGAAGGAAACAATTTCTTAATTTTCTGAGTGGGCTCCCTTTTAAAGTGAGACCTTTCTGCCGAGACCGGTTTGGCTCAGTGGTAGAGTGCCAGTCTGCGGACTGAAAGGTCCCAGGTTCGATTCTGGTTAAGGGCATGTACATTGGTTGCAGGCACATCCCCGGTAGGGGGTGTGCAAGAGGCAGCTGGTCGATGTTTCTCTCTCATTGACATTTCTAGCTCTCTATCTCTCTCCCTTCCTCTCTGTAAAAAGTCAATAAAATATATTAAAAAAAATAAAGTGAGACCTTTCTTATTCGTAATACTGAAAATCCATCAAGGCAGGGAAACCTGGCCACATTTGGGAAAAAATTTAAAAAAAAAATTATTTCAGAGAGGGAGGGAGAGGGAGAGAGATAGAAACATCAATGATGAGAGAATCATTGATCAGCTGTCTCCTGCATGTCCCACATTGGGGATCGAGCCTGCAACTGGAGCATGTGCCCTTCCCAGGAATCAACGGTGTGGGATCTCCTGATTCATAGGTCGACGTCCAACCACTGAGCCACACCATTTTCAATCAGAAAGAATCACAGGCAGGGAGTCTAAATGATCGCTAGCTCTCGGCGAGTAGGTCTAGAGCAGTGGTCGGCAAACTGCGGCTCTCGAGCCACATGTGGCTTGCAAGTCTCGGTTTGCTGCTCTGCTGACTAATGAGTTTGCCAACCACTGGCCTAGACTAAATGTTACTGTGTAGTTGGAAGTTGTGAGGATTAGGCAATTGTGGCATATTGTGTGCAAAGAGGTAAAGGGTAGAATATGACAGTGGTCGGCAAACTCATTAGTCATCAGAGAGGCAAATCACAGCTCAAGAGCTGCAGTTTGCCGACCACCGGTCTAGAGCCGTGTGTGGATGTGTCTCCAGCCCAGTCTCCGAAGCGCCCAGGAATGGACTGTCTGGGCAGCTGGTGACTGGGATTTCCAGTCCAACTTCCATAACTTTCGAGGTGGAGAAGTGAGGGGTTGGGGTCTAGGACATTCTTAAGCCTGTATACGCATTGTTCAAGAAACTAAAAAGTAGAAGGTTCCTCCCGCCCTCATGGCCCCACACACCATCTCGGCTTAACTGGATGGGTCTGTCCACCTTGGGGCCCCGGACAAGAAGCAGACAGGACCCCGATCAATCTCAGCCAGCCGTGCCTGTGTGTGCAGCCCTGGGCACTTCCTGCTCTCTCTGGGCCGGGCACCTGCTCCCTAGAGACCCTTCTAGGAATTTAGAGCGGGGATACAGTGGAACATCACATTCTCAGGAAGACCTCTGCTCCCAGCGCTGCCAGATCCCTTCGCTTCTCTGAGCCTCAGTTTGCTCATCTGTGCAATGGGGATTGTCAGAGATATTGCGAGGAACCGAAGCTGTAACGTGTGTAAAGGCTTCTAAGCACGGGCCCAGCTTCATGGATGTCAGCGCGTCCTCTTGGTTAAGGGTTTACACCAGACGTTCAAACCGCGCTCCGGTAGTCTGCAGGTGTGTTTTGCTTGGCGCGCCCAGTGTTTTTAGAAATATGAATTTGTTGACAACATTTCGAGACTGGGAGATTCACATAAGAAGACGGATCCCTGGCTCCTCTTAAAAAAATGGGGAGATTTGGCAACAGAGCACCCACATTCTTGGGGGAAGAGGAGCGACCTCTGTACATCTTTAACGGCTCACTATGGCCCTGCACCCCCAGCAGGAGCCAACATTCCCTGAGCATCCTGTGTGCCAGGGACCGAGTCAGCCACGCAGACCCACCGGCTTATTGACGCCTATTGACGAGGAGACAGCTGCTATGCCCACATATCGAATTTTACCGTCACCATAAATTATTAATACCTTATTTTGACAACGAGGAAGTAGAGGCTCAGAGGTTTGTGATGAGTTGTCCGTAAGCTCACAATGCTAGCAGATGGTGCAGCCAGCACTTCTAGTCAAGACCCTGCCTCTTGTCACCTTTGGGACTCTTTCCACCCTAAGCCTAGCCCCGGGTCCATGGAGAAACCCTGGTTACGACCTGCTGATGGGTTGACAGATGGGTTTAGGCAGGTGATGTCAATGCCTGTGGTCCCCATCCTTTATGTTCAGCCCCCCAGGGGCTTGTGGAGTTAGGGTAGGGGTCCAGAATCCATGTGTACACCTGGAATTGTTGAAATAAAGCTCTCCCACTACATTCAGATAAATTGATCATAGCTTTAAAATTTTATTATCAAAATGTTCAGCCAAAACCGGTTTGGCTCAGTGGATAGAGTGTCGGCCTTTGGACTCAGGGGTCCTGGGTTTGATTCCGGTCAAGGGCATGTACCTTGGTTGCCAGCACATCCCCAGTGGGGGGTATGCAGAAGGCAGCTGAATGATGTTTCTCTCTCATCGATGTTTCTAACTCTCTATTTCTCTCCCTTCCTGTCTGTAAAAAAATCAATAAAATATATTTAAAAAAAACCAAAAAAAAAAATGTTCAAATATATACAACAGAATAAAGTAGTGGTATAATAAGCCCCCCCTCCCCCTACACATAACCCAGACTCCACAATTATCAATATTCTGTCCCATTTGCTTCACCTACGCTTTTTCTGTTTCTCTTTTTAAATGTACTTTTAATAATTTCAGATTGGAAGGGAAAGGAAAAGAGAGATAGAAACATCAATAATGAGAGAGAATCATTGGTTGACTGCCTCCTGCACGCCCCCCTAATGGGGATTAAGCCAGCAACTCAGGCAATGCCCTTGACTGGAATTGAACCCAGGACCCTTCAGTCCCCAGGCTGATGCTCTGTCCACTGAGCCAAACCAGCTGGGGCAGTTTCTCTTTTTCTTTATTGATTTATTTCAAAACACATTCCCGGTATCTCATGTCACCCCTATATACTTCAGTGCAGGTCTCTGAATCCAGGGGTGTGCGGGAGCCTGCTGGTTCCGGCTGCTAAGAGCGGACCATGCTCACTTCTTTTTAATTCTGAGGCTAGTGACGTCATGTTGGTAGCTTGAAACAGGTCACGGTGGGAGCATTTACACCATGGAAATCAGCAAACGCGACAAACCAAATCCCATCCCAGAGAACAAGTTGTTAAACCTTTCCACCACTGTCTGAAAGACAGACATTTTCCTACATAATCATCATGCTGTTACCTTATCTAATGAAATTAATGCTAACATTCTGATCAAATGTCCCCAACGGTTTTAAAAAAAAGTGTGTTTACAGGTTGTTTGTCTCACCAGGACTCAAACAAGGTCCACCTGTGGCTTGGGTTGTTATATGTCTGTTAATATCTCTTACCGTAGGGCCGTGGTCAGCAAACCACGGCTCGAGAGCCACATGCGGCTCTTTGTCCCCTTGAGTGTGGCTTTCCCACAAATACCACGTGCAGGAGCACACGTACAATGTGATTGAAACTTCGTGTCCCATGTGCAGAAGTCAGTTTTCGGCTCTCAAAAGAAACTCCAATCATCGTCCTGTTGATATTTGGCTCTGTTGACTAATAAGTTTGCCGACCACCGCCCTAGGGCATGCCCTCTATTCCTCACCTGCGGCTTTCTTACGCCCTTGACCGTTGCAGACACCAGGGGGATTGATCAGTGGAGGATCCCTGGGCTGCATTGGCTGTTTGTGTTCCTCTGTTTCTGTATTTCCTGTCTTTAAAGTCTGAATCGATTTGGGTTCAATTTTTATTTTGTTGTTTCTTGGGAGGGGCCAGAAGGCTTCTGAGACAGGGCTGGGTTGGACCGTTCACTTCCCGTGCGTAGAAGATGACCTGTGATGAATGAAATGCAGACTTATTGAAAAGCACTCTTAGATTTACGGCCGTTCTGGTTACTTTATCATCAACATGTGCCACAAGCACAGCCACTAGAGAATCTTCTGCTGGGAAGGAGGGGTTTCGGAGTCTGGAAGGCTCGGTCCTCCTGATTGGGCCTCACCCGTCTGGGCAGGTTTGTCTACATTCCGGTCTCAGGGTTGAAGAATTGCCTTCGGGAGTTCATTCCAGGGTACTCTCACTTGGATGGTCAGGCAGTTCCACCTCATGTCTAACTTCAGGCTTCCCTGCTTTAGGTGGCAGCCCGGTTTTCTCTACCCAGAACCCTGGAATCTCTCACCTTCCCTCCTCTCAAGTTTCTCCTAGTGCCGAGGAGAAAAGCAATCACGAATGTTTTGTGATTCTAGGATGGTAAAGCCTGTCCTTGAAGTGGTAATCTCTCACCCAGAACTGGTTCTAACCTCAGGCCCCAGCCCCAGAAGGAGTTGTGCAAACCTTCTCCACGCACCTGAAGGATGGGGGTCCTCAGGGCCAGGGAGAGGACATTCACCTTTGCCCACTGTCCGGTACCCCCTGGGGCACCCTGGCTGGCAGGTCTGTGGTCTGTCCCCCCCACCCAACATCATGTCTTGGTTCTGGTTCCCCCACAGGACCCCTGTCCTTTCCCGCTTTTCCCCTCTGGATCAAACCCTGGAAGCTGATTCCTCTGCACCTTTCTCCTCTTGTCTGCTCCTCTGAGGCCCGACCCCAACTCCCTGACTCCGTGGGGAG